CAGTAATTTAACTACACACAAAATGAGGGAAACCTACATAAACATATCATACTAAACTCAAATTAAATGTATATTAAATTCAAATTCCTCTTGACAAAAATGTTCTTAGTGATATACCTTTTGAACTAGCAATTCCAATTCTAAATAATTATCCCCAAAATAATGTGGCAAAATTATTAAATAATTTGTGTGCAAGACTATTATTTGTAACAGAAAAAGACTGTAAACAACTCAAATGTCACTAATACAAGACTGGTTTAATAACATAAGGTATATCCACAAATGGAATACTATGCAACTGTAATAAGGAATGAAGAAATCTCTATATACTGCCATGTAGTGGTCTCTAGGATATGTTAAGAGAAAGGTGCAAGTTGTGGAATAGTGTGAATGGTACGCTCTATTTTATCTAAGAAAAGAGGTGGTATTAAAAGGGAGATTCCATAACTCTTAGAGATACATACTAAAGTTTTTACAGATGAAACGATAGCAAGTCTGGGGTTGCCTTTACGATATTCTTATATGGGTGTAGTGGGTATACTGAAAGAGGATCCATGGGCTTTTGCCTCCTAGTCCTTTCTACGTGACTTTGGGGAAATTTTCCAACTACTCTGAGCCTCAGTTTTCTTATACATAAAGAGGGTAAAAGTTACCGACCTCACAGAGTTATTGTAAAGATTCAGAGAAATAATATTTGTAAACCTAACACAGAGTAGTTACTCAATAAATAGCATTTATTATCATTAATTGTATTCTAGCTAAAGCCAGGCAAATAGCACAGCAGTCATTTTCACAATGCTATCTTAATTACTATACTTTCCACAAAGACTAGCAGGCATGGGAACTAGCTCTGGCCTTCTAACCTCTGGAATTCAGTAGTGAAATTCCATCTAAAGTCTGGAATAAAATTAAACTTGATGAGCTTTGTCTCTATTCTGTTTCCTTTATATCAACCACTGCCAAAAGTTATAATGTACAAAACATTTCAGGACTGACCAAGCAAACTCCTGCTGCCATGAGGGTGAGGGTTCCAGGTACCTGGAGTTCAAACACAGGACTTGTGGTATACCGGAGAGACCCCCCCAGGCATATAATCACAACTGTCAAAAGTACAGGAATCAATCACTGAGGGAGCAAAGAGGTGTGTTTCGCTTCATGTACTTCTCTTTTCACTAGAGACTGACAAAGAGAAAAGGACCACTTTGCCTAACAAGCAGAGCTTTTGCTAAACAGCACACTTCACTGTGGCTACCTGCAAGTCTCTCTCATGCCCTGCACAACTAGGGCAAAAGCATTTAGATGGTGGGGCTGGGTGGGGAGAGAGGAGTGCAAGGCGTACAGGGGTGGGAATTAAATTCTTTAGCCTAGTGTTTTATTCCCTGCTGAGAATAAATAGAAGACTGAGTTTCCATCAGAGTTGTTGATCCAGGACCCCTTGATACTGAGATTCTTTTCCATTTAAAAAAACAAAGTATTTTGAAACAAAATTCAGTTAACAAACACTTGGAAGTAAGAATGGGGAGGACTGTTTGGGTAGTTTTATTTTCAAGTAGAGTCCTTTCTTTTCTGAAGGCGACAGATTCACCAACAATAACTGCCTGTGGAATAAATTGAATGAATTGATGTCTTCCTTATTCTTCTCTAACAAACCTAGAATCTTACGCTCCAACTGATGAAAGCATCTCTTCCTTTGCACGGCAAACCCTTAACATATAGACATGGTCATGAGCACAGCTCCACCTCTATTATTAAAGGTAAATACATTCTCACAGTGTGATTCTTTGCTAGAAACTTTGAGGCTAAATGTGGAAATCATATAGGGGGCAGACATTTGAGTTCCAGGGATTTTGGAGAGGGTATGGGGTAGAGAATAGAGAGGGAGGGGTCAGCTGTTGATAACATAATAAAGTCTAGAAAACAGCCTTTCAAATCAGGAAAGCATGTGTTGAAGTCTCAGCTCTTCCAATTAATGCCTCTTTGACAGAAGTAATCTAAGTGATTTAACCTCTCTAACCTCTATATCCTCATCTGTAAAATGGAGGGAAGAACAGTTATGGATAGTTTTGTGGTGATGATTAAATATATAAAAAGACACTACAGACATGCTCAATAAAAGGAGGTATATATATATATGTGTGTGTGTGTGTGTGTATGTGTGTGTGTATATATATATACACACACACATACACAAAATGGAATATGGAATATTACTCAACCATAAGAAGGAATGAAATAACGCCATTTGCAGCAACATGGATGGATAGACTCAGAGATTATCATACTAAGTGAAGTCAGCCAGGCAGAGGAAGACAAATATCATGTGATATCACTTATATGTGGAATCTAAATTTAAAAAAAAAAAGAACTTATTTACAAAACAGAAATAGACCTACAGATAAAGAAAACCAACTTCTGGTTACCAAAGGGGAAAGGTAGGGGGGAAGGATAAATTAGGAGTTTGGCATTAACATATACACACTACTATATATAAAATAGATAACCAACAAGGACTCACTGTGTAGCACAGGGAACTATACTCAGTATTTTGTAATAAACTATAAGGGAAAAGAATCTGAAAGAGTAGATAGATAGACAGACAGACAGATAGATATAAAACCAAATCACTGTGCTGTACACCTGAAAATAACACAACACTGTAAATCAACTATACTTCAGTAAAAAATAAAAAGGTCGCCAGTATTAACAGTTATTATTATTAAATTTTTAAATTAAATACTATTTAAAATAAAATCAAAAGGGTCTATAAACATTAAAACACATATTTAACAATCTTAGAGATAAAGGAAAAAAGATTCAATGAAGGATGGAAGGAAAGAAGAAAGCAGGGGAGGAAGGGAGTGGAGGTGGGAGGGAGGAGACAACAGGTTTGGTGATGCAAGAAGGGAGCCTCTCTGGAAGTTCTCTACTTGGGCACCATTACTCCGGGTCTTGTGGAAAAAAACGTCAAAAAAGGCACATTTCCTCCAATAATGTCTAGAAACGTTAACTCCTGCCTCTATCTCCAGATTTATCTATGGCTACTCATGCCAACTCTTTCCCTCCCACCAATCTGACCACTCAACTTCATATAATTTCCTCAATTTAGGGGGCCAACGTTTTCTTCCTTTGGGAGAATATTTAAGCCCTAAACAATCAATATTTTCACAACACCCCACTCCTGCTTCACAACCTTTACTCACAACTATTGGTTCTCAACTACTGCCCCTACTCGCGAAGGAAGTTGTGAGGAAAAGGACAGAAATCACTTTTCCCAGCCCTTTCTCACCATAGGAGAAGGTTGCCGTCAGAAAGAAATATGGGAGAAAAAATTAAAAGTCCATGCAGAGCTGAGCTATACAGGGGGGACCTTGCAAGGAAGAAGGAGTCAAGCAACTCAAAAATATCTGAAAGGTACCGTGGACTTTTTGAAGATTAGCGTTATTTAAATTCAGCGTTACTGTTATAGGACTAAAGGAAAGAGACTGTGTTGTTCTGTAAGAAATTTCCACCTCCAAAATCATATGTATAAACCTGGAAAGAAGAAAGGATACGTTTTAAGTGTAAAAACACTGAGCCCTTTCCAATCCTCCTTCTTTTGTTAATGACATTGCGTTTCTTTGTTCTGGAGGCTCCCAGAATGATACGGGAAAATTTTTCCAACTTAGCTTTGACAGTCATTTTCTGCTCTTGTGTCTAACCCCTTTTCTTTAAATTTGCATGCCTTGGAATAAACTTTCTTGTTAGATATATTTCCACCAAAAGCGAGAAGCTGGGAAGTTGTTTTATTCTTGAGCAGTTTTATCCTCTCCTGATTGCCTCCTTATTATCCCTACCGAGAATTTTAGTGTTCTCTCTATTAAAACTCAATCTGCCACTTTAGAGGTTAATGATTAACTTTAATAAGTCTGTGTCTTTAATTGTAATCTAGACTCTAGAATTAAATCAAATGTAAGGGAAAGAATAGAGTTAAGACAACTGGGCTCTAAGTCCCAGTATTACCGATAACTAGCTGTCTGACCTGAGGAAAGACTTCAACTTCTCTGGAACTTCATCTATAAAACAAGGTGGTTGGAAAAGACAATCTCTAAATATCTTGTGGCTTTAAAATTCTACGCTCATATTGAGATAGGCTGGGACCTGGGACCCTTTATTGCAGTGCTTGCACCTGGACAAACCTCTCCTCCAGCAACAGAATACAAAGAAACTATCAGGGACTAATAATAACTGCATGCATGCACAGCTGGGGCAAATTATGAACAATAAGATACAAAAAGACCAAAACCCAAACTGCCACTTCTGAGGTGCCAGGAGCAAAAGCAGAGCACTGCGCATGATCCCTGCACACAGCACCACCAAAGGGGTGGGCAGACCACCTATGCTGCCCCTCTGGCGCAACCCCCCCTTCCACCCCTACCCTCACCCCATTTAAGCAGCCAGCTTGCTCCCCACCACCTCCCCTGTCAGGAACCGAGCAAGGGAACCTGTTACTTGTTTTCGCACCCTCGTGCTGCAGCACAAGTCCCAATAAAGCCTTGCCTGAATTTCTCGTTTGGCCTCTTAACAATTTCTATTGATTAGAGTCCAAGAACCTGGGTCGGTAACAGTATGAATAAGGAATCCTCAGATCTAAAAGCTAACTGATTGCAAGCAGCAGTTTTCTCAGCTGGTTAATTCAATTCTAACCAACCAGAACCTAATACAATATTTTCTTCAACACACAACTATCCTTTGAAAGAGCAACAGCAAGAAAGAGAAGTCCACTCTTGTGAGCAGGCAGCCCCGGAAGAGCCAGCTATAGGAGAAAAGGGGACAATAATGAGGAAAAAGGACCAAAATTGTTTTCCCCATCCCCTTCTCTCCATAAGAAAAGTAAGAAAGGAATATGGGAACAATAACAAAGTCATGCAGAGCTGAGCTACTCAGGGATATCCTTCAGGGTGGAAGTGATCAACTCAAGGGATCAATCTATTTCCTTTCCTTTTTTAAAAAATATACTTTACCGTCTCTTTGTCCCTGCCTCATTGTGAAGAAAAAGAGCATTAGCACTTCCCATTTTCTCTTTCTCAGATCAGGCAAAGGATTCTTCTGCAAAAACAAAAAGGAAATCAAACAGAAAATAAGCTTCCATTTGGGGAAAAGAAATGATTAGGGTGGGTGAGTTGTCTAAAAATGACGGTATGGATGATACACTTATTAAAAACTGCCAACTTGCAAATGTTCAAATCTAAAAAAGAACTACTTTGAGCTTAGCAAGCAGCAAAAAGGTGGTGAAAAACTGAGACATACACTGAGCTTTGGGTTTTCCCTTTGTTTTTGTTTTTTGAGTCCCCTAGTAGAGCCTGTAAAAGAAGCAGAAAAAAAAAAAAGAAGCTGAACTTTCAGATTCAATAGTTCACATCATTTAGAAGAAAAAAAGTCTCTCCCTTTCTTTGCCAGATATACTTATGGAGGCAGAGCTGACACTAAAAGGCTGGATAGGAAATTGACTCATCTAAGGGATCAAGTAGGAGTGATTGTGTGAGAACCAATCAAGTGATTTTTTATTTGGAAAACCAAAATGATTGTATAAAATGAGATGGGCTCAAGAATGTGGGCTCATTACCTATAGGCAGGATCAGAGTGAATAATTTTACTGGTCTCAAAGCTCACATGTAACATAGATATAAGCTGGAGTTTCTTTTCCCTTAAAAAAGAAAAAGGATTGATGTGAATGCTCAATGTATGGATGGAGAAAGGCCAACCATTCTACATATACAAGATTTCTGCAAATGATAGGGTGGGTATGGGGTAACTTCCATAGTCCTGGTCACCTGGCTTTGCGTTCCTACTCAAAGGATCTTCTGTGTCATGTCATCCTGATTTATATTGAGGCAACATGATTTGCAATTCACCCTTTCCCTTATTTTATTAATAAATAAGTAAACAAAGAAATAAGCAAATAGAAACCCTACCTCAGGGCATTGTACATCTGTGGTGACCATGTACATAGAAGGCTTTCTTGAAGACTGAAGGTTCCTGGCCCCCCAAATAAAAGCCACAGGAACAGACCTGCAGCCTGGAGCATAGTTACTGGAGCCAACCCCACAGATCCATGAACAAAAAACAAAAATTTTTTGTTGTAAGTCTCTGAGGTTTGGGGACGTTTGCTGTGCAACATGATTTTGGCAAAAGTCGACTTATACAAAGAACTGTCTGGGAAAGGGGGATTATATCACAATAATACAAACAACTTCAAATTAAGAATTCGACATCCTTGTTCTAAAAGACCCTTGGATAACTCACCACTAGGAGTCTGTCAAGAGCCACAACAACCTATGAAATTCCCCTCCTGGGTCAACCTGAGGACTTGAATGCTCTCCTTCCACTTCCACTCCCTTCCACACGTTGTCTTTCCAAGATCCTGTTCTCCACTCCCAACTCTAAAATCCCCTCCATGTATTTCAGAGAGCAAGTCAGTGTTCTTCAACCCCTGCCCTCATAGTGCTGGGCTACCTTTTAATATTCAAACCCACCAAGGATCCAGCAGAACAGAGGCTTCTCCTACAAAGAGAAACATCCTTATGAAGGCAGCAGTGGGTTTTTTTCCCCACAAGGATTTTTCTCCCTGTTATATATTTATACGTGAAAGAGATAAGTAGTAAGTTCTTACGAAAACTAGGAAGGATCTCAAAGGATTCCAGACAGGAAGTCCACTTATATTCTTCTCTCCTGTCTCTCCTTTCCCTTTCCTCTTTCCATACTCTCTGACCTCTCTTTTCTGCCAAGCTAATATCTTCTTCTACGGATGTGGGGAAGACAATGTGTATTACCAATTAGCATAGGAAAGTGCCCTCTCGTTCCCCCTTAAAGTTGAACTTCCATTAAGTAATGAGAAGTTAGCCATCAATAATTAAGACTATCCCTGGAAAACACTCCCACAGAAGCGAACGGCAGTGCTTTCTGAATAATAAAGCAGATTTTCCTAGCTACAACGATTTTCTTTTTACATTTTCACAGTCCCCAAGGAGAACACATTTACAAAGACCCAGCAGCAATTCTGGCGGCCCAGGTAGCACGATTAACCCAAAATACTCCAAGAGGCTGGCTAAGTTTAGGCCAAGTACTAAATAACACATTACTCTTGAAATAAATGACATAGTATCTTTTGAAATTTAAAAGCCACTTGATCCTTTTTTTATGTCAATCCAATCTCCCAATTCATAACACCACCACCACTCCTCCTGCCACTTTCCCCCCTTAGTGTCCATACGTTTGTTCTCTACATCTGTGTCTCTATTTCTATCCTGCAAACCAGTTCTTCTGTACCATTTTTCTAGGTTCCACATATATGAATTAATATACGATATTTGTTTTCCTCTTTCTGACTTACTTCACTCTGTATGACAGTCTCTAGGTCCATCCACGTCTCTACAAATGACCCAATTTCGTTCCTTTTTATGGCTGAGTAATAGTCCATTGTATATATATGTACCACATCTTCTTTATCCATTTGTCTGTCGATGGGCACTTAGGTTGCTTCCATGACCTGGCTATTGTAAATAGTGCTGCAGTGAACATTGGGGTGCATGTGCCTTTTTGAATTATGGTTTTCTCTGGGTATATGCCCAGTAGTGGGATTGCTGGGTCATATGGTAGTCCTATTTTTCATTTTTTAAGGAACCTCCATACTGTTCTCCATAGTGGCTGTATCAATTTACATTCCCACCAACAGTGCAAGAGGGTCCCCTTTTCTCCACACCCCCTCCAGCATTTGCTGTTTGTAGATTTTCTGATGATGCCAATTCTAAATGGTGTGAGGTGATACCTCATTGTAGTTTTGATTTGAATTACTCTAATAATTAGTGATGTTGAGCAGCTTTCCATGTGCTTCTTGGCCATCTGTATGTCTTCTTTGGAGAAATGTCCATTTAGGTCTTCTGCCCATTTTTGGATTGGGTTGTTTTTTTTTTAATATTGAGCTACATGAGCTGTTTATGTATTTTGGAGATTAATCCTTTGCCCATTGATTAATTTGCAAATATTATCTCCCATTCTGAGGGTTGTCTTTTCATCTTGTTTGTAGTTTCCTTTGCTGTGCAAAAGCTTTTAAGTTTCATTAGGTCCCATTCATTTACTTTTGTTTTTATTTCCATTACTCTAGGAGGTAGATCAAAAAAGATCTTGCTGTGATTTATGTCAAAGATTGTTCTGCCTATGTTTTCCTCTAGCAGTTTTATAGTGTCTGGTCTTACACTTAGGTCTGTAATCCATTTTGAGTTTATTTTTGTGTATGGTGTTAGGGAGTGCTCTAATTTCATTCTTTTACATGTAGCTGTCCAATTTTCCCAGCACCACTTATTGAAGAGACTGTCTTTTCTTCACTGTATATCCTTGCCTCCTTTGTCATAGATTCGTTGACCATAGGTGCGTGGGTTTATCTCTGGGCTTTCTATCCTGTTCCATTGATCTATATTTCTTTTTTTGTGCCAGTACCATACTGTCTTGATTACTGTAGCTTTGTAGTATAGTCTGAAGTCAGGGAGTCTGATTCCTCCAGCTCCGTTTTTTTCCCTCAAGACTGCTTTGGCTATTCAGGGTCTTTTGTGTCTCCATACAAATTTTAAGATTTTCTGTTCTAGTTCTGTAAAAAATGCCATTGGTAACCTGAAAGGGATTGCATTGAATCTGTAGATTGCTTTGGGTAGTAGAGTCATTTTCACAATGTTGATTCTTCCAATCCAAGAACATGATATACCTCTCCATCTGTTTGGATCATCTTTAATTTCTTTCATCAGTGTCTTATAGTTTTCTGCATACAGGTCTTTTGTCTCCCTAGGTAGGTTTATTCCTAGGTATTTTATTCTTTTTGTTGCAGTGGTAAATGGGAGTGTTTCCTTAATTTCTCTTTCAGGTTTTTCACCATTAGTGTATAGGAATGCAAGAGCTTTCTGTGCATTAATTTTATATCCTGCAACTTTACGAAATTCACTGATTAGCTCTAGTAGTTTTCTGGTGGCATCTTTAGGATTCTCTATGTATAGTATCATGTCAACTACAAACAGTGACAGTTTTATTTCTTCTTTTCCCATTTGTATTCCTTTTATTTATTTTTCTTCTCCGATTGCCATGGCTAGGCCTTCCAAAACTATGTTGAATAAGAGTGGCGAGGGTGGGCAACCTTGTCTTGTTCCTGATCTAAGAGAAAATGCTTTCAGTTTTTCACCATTGAGAATGATGCTGGCTGTGGGTTTGTCATATATGGTCTTTATTATGTTGAGGTAGGTTCCCTCTATGCCCACTTTCTGGAGAGCTTTTATCATAAATGGGTGTTGAATTTTGTCAAATGCTTTTTTTGCATCTATTGAGATGATCATATGGTTTTTATTCTTCAATTTGTTAATATGGTGTATCACATTGATTGATTTGCGTATACTGAAGAATCCTTGCATCCCTGGGATAAATCCCACTTGATCATGGTGTATGATCCTTTTAATGTGCTGTTGGATTCTGCTTGCTAGTATTTTGTTGAGGATTTTTGCATCTATATTCATCAGTGATATTGGTCTATAATTTTCTTTATTTGTAGTACCTTTGTCTGGTTTTGGTATCAGGGTGATGGTGGCCTCGTAGAATGAGTTAGGGAGCGTTCCTTCCTCTGCAATATTTTGGAAGAGTTTGAGAAGGATGGGTGTTAGTTCTTCTCTAAATGTTTGATAGAATTCACCTGTGAAGCCATCTGGTCCTGGGCTTTTGTTTGTTGGACGATTTTTAATCACAGTTTCAATTTCATTACTTGTGATTGGTCTGTTCAAATTTTCTAATTCTTCCTGGTTCAGTGTTGGAAGGTTATGCCTCTCTAAGAATTTGTCCATTTCTTCCAGGTTGTCCATTTTATTGGCATAGAGTTGCTTGTAGTAGTCTCAGGATGCTTTGTATTTCTGTAGTGTCTGTTGTAACTTCTCCTTTTTCATTTCTAATTTTATTGATTTGAGTCCTCTCCCTCTTTTTCTTGATGAGTCTGGCTAATGGTTTATCAATTTTGTTTATCTTCTCAAAGAACCAGGTTTTAGTTTTATTGTTCTTTGCTATTGTTTTGTTTCTATTTCATTTATTTCTGCTCTCATCTTTATGATTTCTTTCCTTCTGCTAACTTTGGGTTTTGTTTGTTCTTCTTTCTCTAGTTCCTTTAGGTGTAAGGTTAGATTCTTAAAAGCCACTTGATTTTGAGTCTAAAATTAGAAAGTTGAGTTTGACTGTCATTTTCTCATCAGTGGGTTGGTTGTGGTTCAGCCAGGAATCACTAGCCCATCACCCTCACCAAACAGGGGAAAGGGTAGAGCAGGCAGAGGAGGTAAAGTCTTGACTCCCCTGCTGCACAAAAAAATTTACAGAAATATGGGAGGGAAGAAATTTCTTCCTCCCTCTGATAGTACTAGGAAATTTGAGTCTATTCTTTCGTCAGATTTATAAACACCACCTTACTCCTAAGAACAGAGAGCATTTTTCAAATCACAATATAGACAGTCATCTCAAGCATCAAAATGGAGCTGCAAAGAAGGGGAGCTGGTTGAAGCTAGTAAAAGATGTATTGAGAAGGCTGAAACAATTTAAGAGTCTTTACACCAGCCAATGTGAAAAAGGCAACCGACTATGGATAAAGCTGGAGGCAGGGCAGTGGGAAGGGAAAGAATCTTGGAGAAGAGAAAGAAGCTCAGAATCCTTCAGGAGCCTGACAGAATGAGATTTCTTGCAATGTGTTTCAATACTGCACCACTGTAGTAGTGAATGACTATTGCCCTCCAAGGTCCAAAGTATGTGAGTGTACCAGATGAGCCAGCTTAATCATAAACCAGGACTGTGCCTCTAAATCGCTAAACAGCCTTTTTGCTTCTAAAGAGACATAGAAACATAAGGTATATAGAATAGATCCAGCTATTTCCTCGGCCTGACAACCTAGAAGATTAAAGAATACAGATACCATCATCATAGCTTCTTTCCAGAGCTGTTAAAATAGAAGAGAGAGAGATGGAAAGGAACAGCTTTCCCACCAGGATATGGGAAATTGGAAACCATGGTTTGGGAAACTGTCGTGCTAGGGGAGCAAGGCCTCTGTGGATCTGAATAATTAGAGGGGGCGGCAAGGAGGCAAGAAAAGTTCTAGAGTTGTAGACAAGTGAAAAAATCTCCACTGTGACTGCCAGGGAAAGCCCCCTGTACTCCTATATCCAAAGGCAATATGAGCTGGATGGAGACATTGTCTGTACTTCTACCTCTCCTCACTCCTCCTTCCTTGTCCTCTCAGACTCTAGGAATGGCTTGGAGCTCCCTCTATTTCTCTCTTTCTTCAGTATGCACTTTCTTCCTCCTATTGATCAAGACTAATACCAATTAACTGACTCATCCTTTCATTCAACAAGCATGCAGCATACACTGAGAAAGTAAAATGTGTCTGGTTCTGTTCTGGGTATATGGAATAAAGAGAAATAAAACAAGGGGCCTCCCCTTTAAAGGAGGAATATCTAAACTTAGGGAATCAGGGAAGACTTTCTGGAGGAGGTGATACCAACCAGTGTCTTAAAGGAGGATCAGAAGTTCGCCAGGCACAGAAGGTGCATGTGCAAAGACACTGAGGTAGAAAACAGTAACGGGCAGTGTGAAGACACTGACATTTGCTAGATGACCCCAAAAGAGGGTATTCTTACCGCCAATTTTCAATAAATTTTGTCCCAAAGAAAAAAGTGATAAAAGGAAAATCAATAACTAAGGGTTACATTTTTATGAACTTACACTGTAGTTGATTCACTAAATCACCATTTAATCAACCTCATTTACTGTCTTAATGAACAATTAATTCTTTCACTTATGGAACAAGGCCTACGCACAGACAAGCTGGAGTTCTCGTCTCAAAACAACCATAATAATACTGAAAATTCAGAATGGACTACGAATGTCCCAGGAGAAGCTAACCAAAAAGTGGAAGAGGTGACCACAGCAACTGAAATAGGCAAAGGGAGCTTCCCCCAATTCAAAAACGTTTTTGCCATACATTTTACCAATTAGAGTCAACTGTGTCAACACACTTCTCTTCTTAAGAGCAGAAGACAGAGTAAAAATAGAGTAATGCTATAAACCATTCACCCTTCACCTCGGTGTCTTCCTTATTTCAGTCAATGGAGGTGCCATTCTCTAAGTCAATCAAGCTTTTAGAATCATCTTTAACTCCTGATTCACTCCATGTTTGATTGTATTAGATGCCAATCTTCAGATTATCAGACAGGGTTCTCTGTGGAAAACAACAGAGACTGACTCTGGTTGACTGAAACAACATCAACAATAAAAAGAGTTTTTTAAAGGACATTTCACAGCTCACTGTGGCAGACAGTGTAGACTGTCTGTGCATTTTCTCAACTTATTTCTCCATTTCCCACTTCTGTGATAGAGGTTGGACACTCCAAATATTCACTGAGTACTCGTTTCCCTCATTTTCCACATTCCCATGTAGTTAGTTGACCATATTACTCAGCTCTGGCCAATAAGATGTAAGCTTAAGTCTGCTGGGGGTTCTGGGGAAGCTTTGGCTCCCCTGGTAAAATGGAAAGGTATACCTGGTGCCAACCTGTCTCCCCTTCCTCCTGTCTTGAACAGAGACAGCAGCCCAAGGGAAAGGCCAAGAGGCCAACAGAGAGTCTTGACACCAACAACCAACATCAGGAGCTACTTATTTCCAGACTTGTTATTTTATGGGGACGGAGGGAAACCTAATGGCCTAAGCCACCACCAGCTGTGTTTTCTGTTTTGGCAGCTGAAATAATGCCAAGCTGACACGTTTCCTGGCTTACTGGGAAGGCTCAAGTCTAAGTGGGCAGCACCAATGCCCAAAAGCACACACCCACCTCTTATTAAAAACCGTTAGCAGGGGCGCTTCCCTGGTGGCGCAGTGGTTGAGAGTCCGCCTGCCGATGCAGGGGACACGGGTTCGTGCCCTGGTCCGGGAAGATCCCACATGCTGCGGAGCGGCTGAGCCCGTGAGCCATGGCCGCTGAGCCTGCGCGTCCGGAGCCTGTGCTCCGCAACAGGAGAGGCCGCAACAGTAAGAGGCCCCCGTACCGCAAAAAAAAAAAAAAAAAAAGCTGTTAGCAGTTCCCCATTACCTAAAAGGTAAAGTTCCCTCCCTGGATAAGACATGAGGGCACTCTAGAATCTTTCCATCTCCAGCCCCATTTCCCATTGCTTGGAGCTTCCAAAATATACTGACCTGCATGGAGAACGTGCCCATCACAGTATTGACTGCATCTTACATACAATTTTTAATAAGGATACTGGATTTTTCACCAATAAACAACATATTACATATCAGAAAGGGATAATCTTTTCTAAAACCTACACTATGAAAATATTAAACGCAGCTTGCAAAATTGACATTTGCGTTCATATTAATATAGTACTGAGGAAGGCAATTTAGACAGAGGCAGTGTGTTTCTTCCCAATGTGCGAATGTGCTCAGAATCATTTAAGAAAGAACTTTGTGGGCTTCCCTGGTGGCGCAGTGGTTGAGAGTCCGCCTGCCGATGCAGGGGACACGGGTTCGTGCCCCGGTTCGGGAAGAACCCACATGCCGCGGAGCGGCTGAGCCCGTGAGCCATGGCCGCTGAGCCTGCACGTCCGGAGCCTGTGCTCCGCAACGGGAGAGGCCACGACAGTGAGAGGCCCGTGTACCGAAAAAAAAAAAAAAAAGAAAGAAAGAACTTTGTGATCCCAATAACGAGGTCCTTCATGACTGCCCTAGATCTCCCTCATTTATCATCCATTTCCAAGGCCTAGCAATAAGCCCAGGGATGCCCGCTTCTTTTCGTTGCTGTTTGTACAACTCTTCTTCTCAGCAAGGGTTCTAGACAGCTGGTCCAAAAGTGCAGCGATCTATAAAGAACCTTTCTCCAAAGATCAGGAGCCAGCGGTCAGCCTAAACCAACTCATCCTCTGCGAGACAATGGGAGGTAGAAAGCTAAGCGCTTCAACTGGAGGTTATGAGAAAAGAATGCAAAGGTTAAGCCACTAGAATCAAAGACTTAGGGCTCCTATCAGCAGGGGCAGCTTGTTGTGATGCTGCTGCCGAGAAATACCAATCCCAGGGTTATTCTGTGCACTGTATTGAAACCTCTTGCTGCCGTGTGAGATAAAACCAGCGCAACAAATACTGATTGAACGTTGTGCGCTGCTGTGAAATGTGAGATTGCTTCTGTCCTCAAAAATCTGAATTACAGCATTGTTAGTATTGTTATTTAACTGTTTTCAACTTGTGTTGAGCACTTGCCATTGGACAGGTTAAAACATTCAGTCCTCACAGCAATCCTATGAGAGTCTATCACTACCCCCATTGGCAGATAGGGGAACTGAGGCTAGGTTTAATAACCTACCTGCCCAAAGTCACAAAAACGGTAAACGGCCGCAATTAACATCTCCTTCAAGAGATGGATCAAAAATTGTCAAGATGCCAAATAGCTTCAATTAATAACAAATGTCTTTGAATGAGTAAAGGAATGAGTGAAAATCCTAAAGTATAAAAAATGCTATAGAAAGTGCCAGAAGGAAGAGGCTACTTCAATCTGGGGTAAGAAGGAGACTATTACTTGAGATCGTATTCACTTTCTGTGAATGGGAGGACAGGAATCTTTTAGACCATTATACTTAAGATGATACTTTATGCACTGGACTACAATTCAACCCACACCCAAGGTGAAGATTCTAAACAGAACTTTTCTTCCCTAGGGACAAAAAGCACTAAATAGAAAATCTCCAAATAGAAACCAAGAGTGTGACAGTGGGGATGAGAAACTAGGATACAAAAATCTCAGATGATTTTTTTAAACTGACTATGTGGTAAACAATATCAAGTTGAATTGAGAAACTCATTCATTTATTCACCAAATATGTATGTACCAGAGTCTTACCATGTACCAGAGTCCATGCTAGGTACTAGGGAAATATAGGGGAAAAAAATCAACACTGGTTACTTACAAAGAACCTATAATCATATAATTTTCTTACATGTATATAACTGTAGCTTTTTACATCCATGAGTAATTTTGAAACTTAACCAGGTTGTTAATCCAAAGAGTTGTACCAAAAAATAATAGAAAAGTTACCAAAGGGCAAATGCCTGGCAGGCATCTTTGAAAGAAATCTCCAGATGCCTCAAACAGCAGCTTGAGGGCTTCCCTGGTGGCGCAGTGGTTGAGAGTCTGCCTGCCGATGCGGGGGACACGGGTTCGTGCCCCAGTCCGGGAAGATCCCACATGCCGCGGAGTGGCTGGGCCCGTGAGCCATGGCCACTGAGCCTGCGGGTACAGAGCCTGTGCTCCACAACGGGAGAGGCCACAACAGTGAGAGGCCCGCGTACCGCAAAACAACAACAACAACAACAACAAAAACAGCAGCTTGAGAAATGTTTCCTGAGGCAGAGACGCAGAGAATATTCCTCTTGCTAAGGTCACGAGCCGATTTCATCTTAGATATAATACACTGGTTGCCTCCACGATTATTTCCTTCCTCAAATTAGAAAGCTCTCAGAACCTGATAAAACGAGATCACTCCCTCTAGCTCGAATAATTTCTGGAAAGCTTAGCTGTTCTCAGCGCATTGGTAAAAGTGCATTTCTAATTAGCATCTCTGAATTGGCCTGTTGTAATTCCAAACCCTCCCTGGTCTTAAAAGACATGACCCCTGTGAACAGAGTACAGGGGCCATCTTTCATATTATATTCCTAATTATGCGCCTACCACAGGTTAAGAAAAGAGTTTTGTTTTCCTATAAAGTGTTATACTGGTCTTTCATAATAAGGAAAGACTCCAGGCAAAAATTAGCATCTGCAACAAAAAGCTGCTTGGTGTTGAGAGTTATTATTTTTTCTTAATTGTGGGTTTGTTTTGTGTGTGTATGTATAACTGATTTTCTTTGCATTTTACCCTGTCCCTGGGTGATGCATTTCTGGGAGATAATGATTGGATAAGGTTAGAGGTCCTCAACTTCTCCAACTGCTAATTATTTGCCAGATGCATTTCTTAGGTGCAACAGTTATTGTTATTATTGCTTATTGTTTAGGTCACAGTTTCCTTTGAAAAATGTATCTCTCTCACCTCAGGGAAAGTGGAACCCCTTAGAACAAGTGGGGACTGGTCTCACGACTTCCTTTAAGAATCAAGATGGCCTGAAGAAGTCGACTTAAACAGTGGCATGTCACTCAGAAACAAAGGCAAAACCTCAGTGGGGTATTTAACTCGGAAATGAGATTTGGACCATTTCTTACAAATACTACCAAGCTTAGCAGCCGTTAAGAGGCCACCTCATAGCACTCAGTCCTCCAGCAATTTCCTACTCACGCATCCTCGAGCGTTCTCAGTGTGGGACCCCTGCCCCTGCCCCTGACCACAGCTGCCTCTGCAAGGAGATCCAGCCAGTCACACTCTCTCCTCCCCTAACCACAGGGCGACTTTTCGTGAATGCTCACTTTGGAGGATGGTATGGGGCCTTTTACAATGGGGGCTGCAGAGAGGTGGGGATCAAGTAGGACTTTGGCATATTTGGAGCAAAACAGCAGGCACACTGGAGATGCACAATAATTACCTAATGCAGAGGTCAGCAAATTTCCTGTCAAGGGCCAGATAGAATCAGGCCAGCAGGTCATGTAGTCTTGGTTGCAACTACTCAACTATTCTACTACTCTTCACTGTAGCCCCAAAGCAGCCACAGGCAATGGATGAACAAATGGGTGCTGACCAATTTGGTCCGCAAGCCAGATGTTGCCCACCCCTGATCTACTGAATGAATAAATCATCAGAGAATTCACTTTACTATATAAATGAATGTTCCAGATAAATGGAAGTCTATTCTTTAAATCAATAAATGTTTTACTTTTGCTTTACCTAATTTGAGATTTTCATAAAGTGTATTTCTATACCAGCCTACCTTTTTAAAAAGCATATTCAAAGCATAACTTTTTCTCCCCACATAACTCAGGGTGATCATAAAAGCAATTATATTACAATGCTGCAATTCATTACTGTCTTCTGAGAGTTTGGTGCACTGGGTTATTTAACCCAACTCCAGAAAGCCCCAAACCTCTATTGTTTTTAATCATAGCATCCACTTGTGATTTTTCTGTCTCCTCCCTGTCTAGTGGGCTCTGAGCACTTTCTTTTCCATTCTGCCAGTGTGCCCTTTAGGGGCATTACACTGGCTTTTCTCAACATAAGTCCAAGGAATATCCAGTGCCCAACTCATGCTCCAATATTCCCTACTTCTTCCTCCCACATAGGCCTGGGACTCAGCCTGCTCGCTCCTCATCCTGCCTTACCAACTTTATCCATCTATGATTCTCCCCTTCCCCTGACCTCAGAGTTGGCCAAAGAGTAGGATACAGCCTCCCCAGTCCCCCTTCCCCTTTTTAAAGTTCTCTAGGGACCCAACCAATCCTAGCATTGAGCTCAAAGTTCAGGACACTGGTAGCTTTCAGTAGTCTCTTCATCAGAAGGGAGGTAGGGAGGGAGGGATAACGTTAGTCTTTACATCAGATCCTGGCACATGGCTCCCATTGGGCCAGATACCTGGGAACTAAAAATGTTAAGCTGACTGAACCACCACCCCATCTTCCCATCACCACCATCACCACAGACACACACTCAACATACAATGGTGAAACAAGGACCAGATAATCTCAGTAATTGTTCCCATTCAGAAAGGGGAAGAATGATCAACCCAGATTCAAGGCATGGAGATATAGTCTCCACCTCCCTTCTCGATAGAAGACTCTACAATGTCATCTAGTAAAGCTATGGATGTAAGAAAGGAAGAATTTGTGACCATTTATACAATCTATCATACTCAATATATTAGAAACATAAACAGAAAATATTGCTGCTATAACAAATTATTACAAGCTTAGTGGCTTGAGACACCATGAATTTACTA